ATACTACCCTCCCCTTGCCTCCCACCTCCTGTGATCTTCTATTTTCAATCTCAAAGAACATATTCCCCTTTTTTCCTTTCGTACAGCATCCTATTTTTGTTTTACATATGTATCGATTTTTCTCATTTCTCTTAGGTATTTCGTTTGCTTGCCTGTTTTATTCTCTTTCTTTTAGGCTAGAGATTTCCACCTTTAACTATATACTCAGATTTTAAACTAGAGCACACACACAAAAAACCATTAAGAGCACTGTGGGCTAGGCGTGGTGGCTCACGCCTGTGGCCAAGATGGGCAGATCACAAGGTCAAGAGATCGAGACCATACTGTCAAACATGGTGAAACCCTGTCTTCAATTAAAAAAAAAAAAATGCAACAATTAGCTGGGCGTGGTAGTGCGCACGCCTGTTAGTCCCAGCTACTTGGGAGGCTGTGGCAGAAGAATTGCTTGAACCTGGGAGGTGGAGGTTGCAGTGAGCTAAGATCACGCCACTGTACTCCAGCCTGGCGCCTGGCGATGAAAAGAGACTCTGTCTCAAAAAAAAAAAAAAAAAAGCACTGTGAACATAGATTGAGCTTTCAACCAAGCCATTTTATCAGGGGAATTGCTGATATTAACATATTTAGATTTTGCTTTTGTTTTTCCCTACCTCTTGGGCTTGTCAGATTTCCCTAAGAAGAATCTTCTAAACTTTTAAGTGTAGAACATGTGACTGGCTACCCTGTTCTGAAAGAGAGAGGAGAGGAGCAGAGGGGAGAAGAAAGTAGGTCACAATAGTAACTACTTAACTTTCACTTAACTCTTTCATAATGTGTACCCTTCAACTCGGCCTCTTATTCCCTCGTGTACAGAATCCCTCTGCCCCTTCCTCCAGAGAGTAACTTTTAGTACTGTGAGGTTCAGGAGTGTCACTCAGCAAAAAGGAGGAAGAAATTTCTCCTTCTAAACAGATTATCAACCAGTTCTCATGTTCTCAGCTAAATTCTCATACCCATTTCCAGAAGTATCTGGCAAACTAATAATGCGGCCTTCAGGGGATCCACAGTATGAACTGGGTTGCCTTTGACTTCCTCTATCAGTGCTAAGAATACAATTATTTGGAGATAGCTAAGTCAGGGTCCTTCTGTTTTCCAGCTTCCAAAATAATTTTACTGCTATTTTCTCCTTTTCTTGTCTTTTTCATCTTTATCAGCTATGCCTTGAAAAAAAAATTACTTCTTAATTGCTTGTGATTTCAGAAAGCAAATACATGTGTTCAACCCACCAAGTTTAATCAGGTATCTTTTAATTTATTTTTAAAAGATGACAAGTCCTCCTGAAACTGTGTACTAGATTTGAAAACACACTCCCCAAGAGCATCTACTAATTTCAGGCAACATAAATTTAAATGTTATTTCCATTGGCAACTGTTAAAGATGCTTATAATCTAAAGGGTAAACTAGACCCAATTCACAGATAACTATGAGCAAACATGGAGAGAAAAAAATATTTTGACCAATACAGCCAGGAAAGTCTCATTGGAGGAGGTGATGTGAACATCACTTTAAAGGATGAGCTAAAATTCCACAGATATATAAAAAAGAACTGTAAAATTCAAGACAGCATATAAGCAAAAACAAAGAATAACATCGGCTTCACTGGATTTTTTTTGCTCCTTTCTTCCTTCAACAACGATATAACCCAAGGTCACATCTTTGAACCCAGCAAGCCTCAAGTAAACACATCTACTCCCTCATAAGCACTGAAAATGACTCCAAAATCTGTTTGTCTATCCATTTTCCAGAGCCAAATATTTATTTTAATAGTAGAGTGCTCTATGTAACCGCATCAAAAAATCCCATTATCAGTGAGGTGCTCTCCTTATCCACCTCCAAAACCACTTTTGCATTCTGCATCTTCATAAAGATATTACCATGCACTGAGTAAATGTATCAGCAAGTAATTCTCAGATCAAGTTTGATTATTCCTACTTTCTCCCTTAATGCCAGTTTACAATTCATACTGAATATATGGAAAAAAAAAGAAAAAAGAATATACGCCTTTCAATGAGAAGCTAAAATGAATGCTCAGTGATTTCAAGATTTACACAGCCATTTTGTCACCAGCTAGAGTTGTAATAGAACCAGAAGGCAGAATGAGTAGAGACCGAAACTAATCTATACTATTACTTTCTCATCATTCTTCTATTAGAATAGACATTAGGAAAGCATTAACCTTTTTATTATAGAATTGCATGGCTTATGATTAAGGGATAATTACAAAGTTAAATTAAGCCAGCAAAAAGGTATTATACACATAAGCACAGGATGAGTACTCCTTAAATTTAAAATTTTACCTGCTTAGTCCTAAGATTACATTTTTTAAAGGTTTATTCAAGCCAATTTTATGTAAACAACTTTCGTGAAGCCTGTCAGCAGACTATAAAACCAGAGTAATAGAGAAGATCATATGCACGAGCTATTTTTAGCACTGGTCTGAAATATAGGAAAGTCCAAGCTGTAGCTAGTAACAATCACATGACAATTATCATCTCAGAGTTTGCTTGATTACAGATATAGAGCAGAATAACCCAGGAGTAGACAGACATGGCAAAAAGAAACATCCAGATTCCAATCATCTGGAAGATTCTTGCTTTGCATCATCTTGTTGATACACAAACCAACAAATTACTTTGAAGTCATTTATTATATAGTGGTTTTCATAAAAGTATTATTGTTGTAGATTTCAAAGCATTTAAGAGTTGTGGACATTTTATCCCTCTCTGTAAACATGTACTACTAAGTTTCTATGTATAACCACCTTGTTATGTCCTATGGTACCGAATGCCACCTAGTCACTCATCCTATAACCAAACACAAATTCAGCACAACTAGCAGAAACATAAAAATTATGATAATTCTGATTTCCTAACCCAAATGACCTTCTGGGTTGCTCTGTTACCTAACATTTTAGTAAGGAAAAAAAAATTTACAGGAAGGGGAACACTAATGCCTGTCTCTAAATGGAGGGTAGGTATGGAAAAGGAAAGAGGTGTGAATCAGTAAAAACTTGCCTTTCTGGTCACAAGACTGACAACCAGGTAACACTAATTTGAAACATATAAATTTCTCTTCATCTCTATACTGGAATGGCCAAGTCGTTGAAGGGGAAAAAAGGATATAATCTCATTTTAATGAATTTTAAGAACAATCAAAATTGCTACACATTATCTAAAATGTTAACCCACTGTAAACTTTATAACAGAGGTACACTATTCTATTCTAAGACATAGTTCATAAATAAAATCTGAGTGCCAACAACATGCCAAGCAGGGTGATACACAAGAAGGGAGTGTCTGGCCTAAAAGTGCTGAAAATCTCAAACAAAGACAAATGGGTAAAAAACTAAAATACAAAGTACTAAAAAAAAAAAAAAATCTAACAAAGGCGTGTATGAATGCAGTGAGAACACAGAAGGTATGGAAATATATATATTTGGTATTCCTTCTTGTTTCCTAATATAACTCCTAAAATCCTTAGATTCTCCAAGTGCTGTCTTTTGGTATGCTAATGACTGACAGCTTCAGGGTGGGGCAGATAATCAGAAAGACAGAGGCATGATTAAAGGGTTGGGACTTTCAGCCCCACTCTACATCTTCCAGGAATGAGAGAGAGGCTGAAGGTCAAGTTGATCACCAATGGCCAAAGGTTTAATCGATCATGCTATGTAAAGAGGCCTCCATAAAAACTAAGAGGACACAGTTCAGACAACTTCCAGGTTTCTGAAAATGTGGAAGTTCCTAGGAGACAGTATACCCACGCAGGGCATTGAAGCTCCGAGACCCTTACCCATACCTCACCCTATGCACCTCTTCTTCTGCATCCTTCATAATAGCCTCCACAATAAACCAGTAAACACAGTAAGTGTTTCCCAGAGTTCTGTGAGTCGCTAAAGCAAATTAGCCGAAACCAAAGGTGGCATCCTGGGAATCCCGACTTGAAGCCCGTGGGTCAGAAGTTCTGGAAACCCAGACTTGGCAACTGGTGCTTGTGAAGGAAGAGCTGTCTTGGGGGACTGAGTCCTCAACCTGTGGAACCTGGCATTACCTCCAGGTAGAGAGTGGAGGTTGGAGTTTGTATTTTCCACACAAACCACCACAAACACTCCTTCAATGGGAGTTTAATTAGAGGGCACCCGGCTGGTGTGTGTGAAACATTTTGATCACACAAGTCTTCTGTACTGATGACTGATGTGGTGGTATGAGAGCAGAGGAAAAACACAGATTGAAAGTTTCTTCAAAACAGAGAGAATATCTAGGCCTGCCTGGTGTTCAGAGTAGACTGTATAATGGAGGTGATGATCTCTCAGACAAAAGAGAAGAGGTGATCAAAAAGGTGATTCATTGTTAAGATTGAAATGGCCTTTGCAAAAATTATGAGAGAAACCTGACACAGCTGACTCCATCTTGCTTTTAAACTCACAAGCTAACTGTCTTTGCTCATTCCTGGTGTAGACTAAGCAACTATGGGAGAAATTTAGTTTACAATTTAAAATAAAGATAACTGTCCCTTCCCAAAACTAACCTCCTCTCCTTGCTCGTCCCCTGCCCACCAATATATTCTTCAACAACTCTAGTGCCCGAAATCTCAGGGAGGAAGATTTGAGAAACAGCTCTCATCCTTCCATTTGGCTGACCCCATGATAATTAAACTCTTTCTCTGCTGTTCTCATTGCACTGGCTTTTCAGGGCAGCAAGAAGAAGCTCCCAGGCTCTAACATCTCAGCACGGACATAAGAGAGGATACATATTCCGAGTCTAAATAGTAATACACAGGAAATGGCCAAGTTCTACAGTATTGTTTTTTAGTCTAATATATAGAGAGGAGAACCTAAACACTGTAAGTCTGTGGAGTAAAACATTGCAAGGTACAAGACTGACTTGAAAGAAATTTTAGTATAAGCTAAGTACTATATATTTTGGATGGAAAAAAGGAAAGAAAGTAGGAGAAAACTGAACAATTACCTCCTTTTGTAGTATCATTCTGGGCCTGGATGCCATGATGCAATGAATTATGAATGGCAGAAAGAAGATCTGCTGCTTGAACCATCAATTTTTGAGCTTCTGCAACAGCACTGGTCTAGCAAATAAATCACCAAAAACATTCTTACATATTCTTTCACTGAAAGATATACATTAAATAGGAAAATCCTATAAACAATAATGAAATTAAATGCTTGCTGTAATGACATTGGTTTTCATAAACTATGCACTTAATACAGGATGTCCAGATCCTGTTAGGATAGAAAATGTTTTTTTTTTTTTTTAAACTCATTTATAACATGTAGGATTCATTTAAAAATAATAGAAAATATAAGCCAGGCATGGTGGCTCACGCCTGTAATCACGGCACTTTGGGAGGCCGAGGTGGACAGACTATGAGGTCAGCAGATCGAGACCATCCTGGCCAACATGGTGAAACCCCGTCGCTACTACAATACAAAACATTAGCCGGGCGTGGTGGCACATGCCTGTATACCCAGCTACTCAGGAGGCTGACACAGGAGAATTGTTTGAACCCAGGAAGCAGAGATTGCAGTGAGCTGACATCGCACCACTGCACTTCACCCTGGGTGACAGAGTGAGACTCTGCCTCAAATAAAATAAAATAAGATAAAAACAATAGAAAATATTTCTGGTTTACTTTAATAATTTTTTTAACAATAAAAACCAAAAATGCAATCAACTAGAAAATGAAAATTTTTTCAACAATGCTACTATGTCATTCATCAAGGTGGGGGGAAAAAATGGGGAAAAATAGAATTACAGAAGTTAATGGTAAAAACTGGATTCCTACTCACATTTATAAACTATTCACAAATTAATCTGTAATTGACTTGAATTCATGCAAAAATACAAAAAAGAAAAAATCGTCACTATCTAGGGCTCGATTTTGGTTCTATACAAATCCAAGAGTTAATTATGTAACTGAAGGTAAGAATAGGCCTACCTAAAATTTTTACTTCCTTCTTTTCAATTCACAAAATATAACAACCTACAAGCAATTTCAGCTTCCAATGTATTATTTACAAATAAATTACAGAATATAAAATTCATGTGACTTCTTGAGAAAGTCATGAGGGTTACTCAGATATAAATATACCAAATGCTGATTTCTGTATATCTGAGATTAGGAGCACTTCAAGGGAAAAATTTCACAACTGTTTCACTCAGGCATGACATCCAAAATCACTAAAACAGATAGATATGTTAACTGTCCTTACCTCTTTCTTAGTAAAGGCTATAAGCACTGTCAGTAACACACGAGTAAATTTCACTCTGCTGAATACTGCTAAACATTGTTGGTGCTAAAAAAACAAGAAAGGACTAGAAGTTAAAAGATGCAAAGCCCATGAAAGGAATTTCATTTTACATATATTAACTCCTAAATCTCAATGTTAATAATTTACATTACAGACACCTGCACTTATAGGCTTTTAAATGCCTAAAAAATGAGCTGCAGAAAACAAAGCCTATTCTTTTGAAATAGGAATGTAAAGTTTCTATATCAACAGGACTGATCTTTTCCTAAGTCAAAAGTTACACTATTATCTCAAAAAAACTGATTTTGTCTGCATTTTAAAAAGGACTGATTAAAATGTGCTTTTAGCAGAGTCAGAAAATTTAGAATCTTGACAAAGGTTCAGCAACTTTTGATACTGTGGAGCTGTGATGCATCATCTGTGAAAGATTGTATTTTTCTTCCTACCTCACAGGAATACTGAAGAGTTTTGAAATCATGTATTTGAAAGAGCTGTATTATCATTATCAAAATGAATACAAGGGAAATAAAATCCCTTGCAATGTCCAATTTTTAAAGAAATACCTTAAAAAGGGCTTCCATAAATTATAACGCAGTTCATAAAACTACAACATTAACAGGTAGACTTCTCTGATATTATCTACCAGAAAATAAGTTCAATTACTTCTAGTTCAACTTCTGGATCTCTTTCTTCTCCTTGTCGACTTCGAGTACTCTAAAATTTTAAAAAAGGTGAATGAATAAACACACACCTGAAAAAATATTACATTATAAGTATATAAGGTAAAACAGTAATTTTTTGAGTATACACGAGAATCTATTTTTGGGAAAAACAGTTGGAGAAAAAACGTAGTGTCTATATTTATGTCCTCCTATTAATCCTATATACAGAAAGGTCATTTTAACATAAATTATAAAGATCATGCAAAAGAATTAAGTATTGAAACAGCAAAAGCAAAACAATGAAATAACATAAGCAGAAGCATATGGCACATAGTACATTTTCCTTTATTAACTGAAATTCCTGATGCTGTCAAAACTAACCCTGTTAGGGAAAAAACTGTAACCTTTACGAAAATCACATAATGAAAACATAAAGTTCAATGGTTAATACCAATCTGTTTTACACTAAAATACAAACTATCTTAATACAAAACTTATTGTGGACAATTTCATTTGACCAAATACCACAGAAAGATCTGCTAGAAGTTGTGGGCTCTAGCCCTAAAGCTGCCATTTACATGCCCTTTTGGAAAGCTAAGACACAGGTTACTTAACTCCTTTAATCTGTATTTTCCTCGTCTAAAAGTGGGGCACTCTGTGTGTCTAAATGCCCAATTCACTGAATTGTAAAAATCAGAAAAAGAGAATATGAAGTTTGATAAACATACTGTTATACTAGTGTTCATCCTGGCCAACATGGTGAAACCCTGTCTCTACTAAAAATACAAAAATTAGCTGGACGTGGTGGTGTGTGCCTGTAGTCCCAGCTACTCAGGAGGCTGAGACAGGAGAATTGCTTGAACCCGGGAGGCGAAGGTTGCAGTGAGCCGATATCGCGCCACTGCACTCCAGCCTGGTGCCTGATCAAGACTGTCTCAAAAAAAAAAAAAAAAAAAAAAGTAGAAATATAACTTTTTTTCCCCTTTTTAATTTCTATGAAAGGCAGCAAATCATCAAGGTCATCTAGAAGGTTTTCACCAGATGTGGGATATCACCATTTACTTAGCTCACCTACTGTGTTCCAGACACTGTACCAGCCTGCTGTGTTCCAGACACTGTACCAGCTATTAAAGATATAAAGGTGAAGGAGATAGTGCTCGCCTTTGAGGAACTCAAAACAGTAGTGGGAGAAAAATACTATTCTTAAAATAGCATAGTAAAAATCTAAAACATTGGCAAAAAGTTGAAAGAACTGAGTGGGTTAAATTTTAATATACTCATCTCTCTGTATCCACAGGGTGGATTCAAACAACCGCTCATTGAAAGTATTCAGAAAAAAAATTTTTTAAGTAACATTAAAATATATAAATTTTAAAAGTATAGTATAACTATTTACAGAACATTTACAACATATTAGATATTATAAGTAATCTAGAGATGACTCAAAGTATACAGGAGGACATGAACAGGTTATACACAAATATCACCCATTTTATATAAGAGACTTGAGCATCCTTGAATTTTGGTATCCACAGGGGTCCTGGAAACAATGCCTTGAAAATACTGAGGGATGACTGTACTTGAAAATGACATTAACTTATCAGAAACTCCTCTAGCAGTGTTCAAATTCATTACCAAAAACATGCAAAGCAAATACAGGAAAAAGGTGGTTCTACACATTAGTAATGAGGTAAAGTTAACCTAACATTTAGAGGTGTACTGTTTCTACACCAAAAAGAAAACATATATACCTTTACTCTTCTTTGCATGTCATCCTCCACATCTTTTAGCATGCCTAGAAAAAGAAACAATAAGTTTTAAAAGGAAACAAATGAAAATGTAAAACTTGTGAATTATCTTTAAAAATAATTTTACCTGTAACTCGAAGATCTGTCACACTGTTAGCCATTTTAAATCCGTAAGTCATTGACTGAAAATCTTCCTATACAAAAAGGAAATAATCAGGCTCATGAATAGCAACAAAACCTTGAATAGTGGCAAAATATAACACTTTTCTTTATATTTCTCTTACAAAATCACTATTTAATAAAGAAACAGAAATGGAAAGTCATTCTGCTTGTCTAAATATTGTTAAGATACACCCAAGCTTTTCTTTAAGGCACACACTTAAAACACCATATTATTATTTTTTTTTTGAGACGGAGTTTTGCTCTTATTACCCAGGCTGGAGTGCAATGGCGCGATCTCGGCTCACCGCAACCTCTGCTTCCTGGGTTCAGGCAATTCTCCTGCCTCAGCCTCCTGAGTAGCTGGGATTACAGGCACGCGCCACCATGCCCAGCTAATTTTTTGTATTTTTAGTAGAGACGGGATTTCACCATGTTGACCAGAATGGTCTCAATCTCTTGACCTCATGGTCCACCCACCTGGGCCTCCCAAAGTGCTGGGATTAAAGGCTTGAGCCACTGCACCCGGCCAAAACACCATATTCTAATGTTGTCTCTGTCCTTACTTTTAATTGCTCATCCTTAGGCAATTTAATATGTTCATTTGTCATATAAGGGTAATGCTTATGAAAATATTGCAAAGTAATAATTCTCACAAAGTATTCTCACATTCACAGGTGAACAGTAAATATCTAATAATTACCGTTTAATGACTGGGCTGCAAAATTCAGATAAGACTACTTCAAAAAATTATTAAGTGCCTGCTTACACAGTTAAGATTTCTCAAATAGAATTATTCAAAGTGATGGCAAAACCACGTTCCACTACAGTCCATTGGAAGGAAAAAGTTGAGTCATTCAGACATATGACCCCCATTCCCCAAATCATTTTTTTCTTTAATTTTTTGAGATGGAGTCTCACTCTGTCACCTAGGCTGGAGTGCAGTGCCACAATCTTGGCTCACTGCAACCTCCACCTCCTGAGTTCAAGCAATTCTCCTGTCTCAGCCTCCCGAGCAGCTGGGACACTGCAATGCCAGGCTAATTTTTTGTATTTTAGTAGAGACGGGGTTTCACCGTGTTGCCCCGGCTGGTAGCCAAACTTCTGAGCTCAGGCAATCTGCCTGCCTTGGCCTCCCAAAGTGCTGGGATTACACACATGAGCCACTGTGCCCAGCACTGCAGAGTCATTAACTAATTAAGTGATTTTTTCTGGACTCCCTTTGAAGAAAATATATTTACTATCATCTGGCTGATTTGATTAACAAGTTATAAGCCCTATTAAAAGTGTTTCTGCCTACTATAATTCCTGTAAAAACATAGGGCTGGGCACGGTGGCTCACGCCTGTAATCCCAGCACTTTGGGAGGCCGAGGTAGGTGGATCACCTGAGGTCAGGAGTTCAAGACCAGCCTGCCAAATATGGTAAAACCCTGTCTCTTCTAAAGATACAAAAAAAATAGCCAGGCATGGTGGCATGCGCCTGTAATCCCAACTGTTTGGGAGGCTGAGGCAGGAGAATCACTTGAACATGGGAGGCAGAGCTTGCAGTGAGCCAAGATTGCAGCACTGCACTCCAGCCTGGGCAAACAGAGCAAGAGTCTCAAAAAAAAAAAAAAAAAAAAGAAAAATGTAATAGGCAGTTTCAAAAGGGGCTAGAGCTACAGCAAAATTTCTAGATTCTTAAAAGAAACAGTGAGCATCAAATTCAAGTGAGGTACTATATTCCATAAACAGTAAGAAAATAAAGTCAATGTCCTTAGTCTCAAAGAACTCAGGGGTATTTTATATGACTCATGTGATCGACTCCAAAAAAAAAAAAAAAACCTCATCACATTACAGAGCTATATAAGCTTATCCTCTACATGAAGTTTATACTGTCTCTACTTGGACATCAAATGTGATTCGCAAATTTTACATCTCCAAAAAGGAGCCTGATGCCCACTTTCCTAGTGTTTGCAATATCGCTAAATGGCACTATTATCTATCTACAGTTGCTCAGGCGGAAACCCTGGCCTCGACTCCTATCATTTTTCTACATCCTGTATGAAATCCGTCCGAAAACACTGTAGGCCTTATCTTCAAATTCTAGTCTTAACTACTTCTCACCCTTTCACAGCTATCTCTAGTTTAAGTCACCACTATCACTCACTCTCATAACCACCTCCAGACAACTCCCCACCTACCACCTTAGTCGCTGCTATAATTTATACACCAGCACGAGGCTGAGGGATTGTCTGAAAATAAGTCAGATCATGTCACTTCCTATTCAAAACCTTTCAATAGTTTTCTACCTCACAGTAAAATCCCAAAGCCCACCATGGCTTCTACAGCCCTACATCACATGGCCCTGGTCTCCCTCACCAACTTATTTCCTACCCCTCCCATATTCACCACATTGCAGTCTGACAGGTCTTTCTTGTTGTCATTCAGACATACCAAACACATTCTCCTCTCAGGATTCCCACATGAAAAGGATTTTCTTCAAAATATTTACAGGGCTTCATCCCTTACTATATTCCAGCCTCTGTTCTAATGCCAATTCCTCAAATAGAGATTTCCCTGTGCATTCTAAGGCAGCACCCTCCACCATTTTATACCCCCTTATCCTGCTTTACTTTTCTTCATGGTACTTATCACCACCTGATATTATACATGTATTTAATTACATATACATTGACTATCTGTCCCAAGAAAGGTATAATACATGAGATCATGGCTTTATTTGCTGCTTTACCTCCAGGACTTAGAAGTGCTAAACAGACTTCCATTCAATAAATATGTGTTCAACGAATGACTTATTCCGGGGCAGGAGTCATACACTCAAAAGGCAGGTTATCTTCCTAAATACATCTGGCTGGTTACAACATACACTAGGGAATGGTAGAGAATAGCAAATCGGAAAACATATGCTTCATTTAAAAGGAGTCAGCCACTACTTATCCTGTTGTGTCTATGAATGAATACAGGGCCAGTGTGGTCAGGTCTCCTAATTTTTTTGAAGAAAAATCTAGGGTTTTTCTTTTTCAATGTAAAATATTCCCCCACTACTCCTCTTTTTCCTTTTTTTTTTCTTTTTTTGAGACAGGGTCTCGCTCTGTCACCCAGGCTCAAGTGTAGTGATGCAAACTCAGCTCATGGTAACCTCCACCCCACTCTGGGCTCAAGCAATCCTCCCACCTCAGCCTCCGAGGTAGCTGGGAATACAGGCATGCACCAACTTACTGGGCTAATTTTTTTTTTGTATTTTTAGTAGAGATGGGGTCTTGCCATGTTGTCCAGGCTGGTCAAACTCATAAGCTCAAACAATCCACCCACCTTAGCCTCCCAAAGTGCTGGGATTACAGGCATGAGCCACCACACCCAGCCTCATCTTATTTTTAAAAAACTAGACCAACACTGTGTAGGAAAAAAACCAAAAATATCCATAAAACTTACCTGTAAGTTTGCTAAGAAGAGTCTAAGGAAAACTTATCTTTCTGGAAGAACACCACAGGTCCTCAGTATATAAACCTCAGTAATGAAAATTTTAACTAAGTTATTGGATAAGTGAGAGCAGGAGAGTCATGTAAACAGCCTGCTACCATTAAAGATCACTCTTGAAGATTTGTGGACTTGAGGACAGAAGTCAGAGTGAAACTAGGGAGACCAGACATTGGACTCTATTCAACAGTCCAAGCAAGAACAGATGACTTGGATTGGGATTGCAACAGTGGGGAGGGTAAGAAGTTGTTAAAATCAGGATATATTTCAAAGGTAGAGCTAACATATGCTGATGAAATGAATGTGAATATGAGGTAAACTGTACAACAGAGCATCATGTTTAAGGTTTTGGTCTAAGCAAGTGATGGTACCATTTCCTTGGATAAGGCAGTCTCTGGGAGGAGCAGGTGTAAGGGCAGAAATGAAGTACAATTTTGGTTATATCAAGTTTGTAATGTATTTGGTCATCCAAGTGGAGATTTCAGATTTCACTTGCTTGAAACTGGAAGTCAGGAAAGACTCAAGGATAGAAGTATAAATTTGGACTTCGTCAGTATATAGTTAGTTAATATTGAATGCCACAGAACTGGAGAAAATCAACCAACCTAGAGAGTGGTTATGGAGAAGGGAGGGAGTCCATGAGTACTCTAGCAATTAGATAAGCAAGCACAGGAACTGGACTAACCAGTAAGGCAGAAAGAAGTCCAAAACACGGGTATCAAGAAACCAAACAGAAAAAAATATTTCTATGTATCTGGGTATTAAGATCTCTTATTGTTGCATTGATCCTTTTACCACTGTATCTTTGTTACTTTGAAATCTATTTTATCAAATGTGAGAACTGCAACTCCTGCTTTTTGTTTATTTATTTATTTTTGCTCTCCATTTGATTGGTAAATTTTTCTCCAACCCTTTGTTTTGAGTCTTTGTGTATCTTTGGATATACCGTTAGGTTTTGGCTGTATCTTTTGATTGGGGGATTTAGTCGATTTAAATTTAGGGTTACTGCCATTTGATGTTAACTGGCTATTTTATCCATTCGTTGATGTAAATTCTTCTTTATGTTGATGCTCTTTACTTTTTGGTATATTTTTAGAAAGGCTCATACTGGCTCAGACTTAAAAAAAAAAAAAAAAAGAAAGAGAAAATTGACCTTGATGGTATTTTGCATACAAATCATTAATGAATACTGCATCAAATATTTGCTTCAATAAAGGTGTTCATCAGAAAAAGAGATTTATTGCTACATGCAACTTAAATTATTTTAAATTAGTGGAAACAAGTAAGAGAGAGAGGTTAGAAATCTATTTCTTATCGTGAGGCTTCTGGAAGCCAGGGATTATAGTGAGCAGCTCTACTTTTCCACCAGTCCCATTTCCACCAAGCAAGAACATGAATCATATATCTGGGCCTCCTCCTCCAGGGGGAGCTGAGTATGTTATTTCCATTGGCCAATTAACATAAATCACTTCTCAGCCACAGAGACTGATTCACAGATGGGCCTGTTAGCCAAGCAAGGCCAAATCAGAATTTTATTTTATTTTTTTTGAGGCA